AGAGAAATAAAAGAGGTGCTTGAGTCATTTCTGTGTCAGAGCTATAGAAAAGCTTTCAAGGTCTTTATAGTGTAATTATAAAGAAAATGTGAAACAAGTATGATTCTAAAAAACTTGGAATCAAGAGGTACTTAATATAATTTTAAAATACTTTGTGTTGAGATGAATCACACTTACATTTCAATTTTATATGAATAAATAGTACCTAGTTTATTAATAGAAATGAAAAATATTTTGAAAGTTGTCTTACTTTTCTTTTTGCCTCTCACATATTAAGTTTACCATTTTCTTACACTTCTGAATCCTCCTTCCCCTGATCCTTTCTCCTGAATGTCACATACATGTGTTAAAATATTAATGATTTTTAAATAGAAAGTGTGAAGCATCAGTCACTTCCCTTAGAAGATTCTTGAACGTAAAAGAACAGGCTTTAACAGAACTGACTGTCCTCACACCCAGTCCGCTGTCTCAAAGACAACTTTAGATGCCCCAGGATGAGTGAGTTCTGTGGTCCCCATTGTATGTATGCAACACTGGGGAGTGTGTGGAACTTATTTTCGTTCACACCAATCTTAGAAAATTTTGATCAAGTTATAAAACAATGTTAGGAATATTCTAAATTCAAGTGATGACTAGATGACTCATATGGTTTGAAAATCAGAAATCCCTGAAACCTTCAGATGTCCTCAAATCTCTTCTGGAGAATCAAGCTAGCTTGTGACTCATTCTGTGTTTGCAGCAAGGAGTCCTTCTAGCCAATATAAAGCATTGGAGACAATGGTCATTTCTGATGCTCTATTGTATAGTTGCAAAGTATATTAAGAAATGCATCCCATGCTGCATTACTTGTAAGTTTACTTGCACTGGCTATTCCATGCATGGAGAAATACACTTGGCATAAAATGTGTCACATTTTTACATTCAGCCATCAGGTATTTATATTACTTATACAAAATAAAACACGTTTGTCAGCTCATGAGAATCCTAGGGACCTTGTCCACAGAGTTAAAGCAGGCACAAAGCAGCCATGATGTCATGGCAGGAGATACAGTGAATGTGGAACTTAGAGCGGGAAGAACAGGCTCACCTTTCAGCCCTCCCACTTAACTGTTTTTATGACCTTGGCCACATCATTTAACTTTCAGAGTCTTGGTTCCCTTATTTGAAAATGGGGTGAACAGCTTCAGCAACCTCTTGTTTCATTCAGTTGATGTGAATTTTGTTTGTTATTCGTTCATACTCTCTCTCATTCCACAAAGGATTTGGAATGGCATGTGTATATTTGAAGATAAAGTGTATTTGTCAGTGCTTTGTAGATTATACAAATATAAGCTACCAGCCATTACTTTTGGGACCATTTGGATTCCTGGGAAGGTCTATTCCTTAGAATGAAATGCTTTTAAGCAGATGTTGCAGAGACCTCCATTTAATAATTTCAAAGAAAACAAATATTTATCCACGTGTGACATAGACGGGTTATGGGTACCAATTTAAAGTAAGCCCACAGGAAAAGAGGACTATCCAAGACCTTTTGATTGAAACTAAGTGCAGCTAATAATGTGATTGGATTCCCACATACTTAATGGCCTTTAATTGAAAAGACTTTGTATAATGACTAGAGGTCTTAAGGATTAAGTAACTCCTTTTAATACATATGTATTTTGTTAATATAACAAATGTGCACAAACATTCAAAAAAGAGTGGAATTCATAGGTATAGGTCATTTTTATTCTGCTTAAAGACAGTGCTTTTGTTGCACTTAGAATTGGAGGATACCTCACAATAACACAGAGGCTTTGAAATATCAGTGGTCTACTAGTCCCTTTAATTCATTTTATTATCCTGTGCCATTTGCCTTAATCTTGAGTTACTAACCGTGCTTATCTGCCCTCTGCATCTAAAGCCTCCAGAAAGATTGCTCTGGCATGGCCTAATAGCTTTTATCAGCTCATCCAGTGGCTCTTAAGCTTTGATGCTTGAAACCCAGGAGTTAACCACATGGTGCCAAGCCCTTCTGAACACGTCAACTGCTTTCCTTGGTGATTGCTGTTTATGCCAAGGCAGCCACAAACTCTTCTCCTCCTTCCCTTTGTCGGAGTGAAATGGGACCTGGGGACAGAAGATAGTGGCTCTTTTGCCACACCCCTTCCAATTCTCATGGCTTAATTTACTTAGAGAGGAATTCCTGGGCAAGTTATAAGTTGCAACAAGGTTGGACCCTTTCTCAATTTTGTCTTGTATTTTAAGCTTCTTTGATTTTTTTTCCTCTGGTATCTGTATAGTATATCTGGCTGATGATGAAATTGTTAATAACCTGTACATTTCAGCTTCTCTGACAAACATACCTGCTCTTCCTCCTTTCCTGCAAAAACTGTCCAGGGAAATTTACTAAGTGAGCTTCTGTTGTCTTTTAAATCTAAACAAAACAAAACAAAACCTTTTCTAAAAATTGAAACTTTTGAAAACATTCACTTGACATTACAGTTCGTGTCATGCAGAAAAATGATAAAAATCATGAAATAACTCTTTTTCTCCTTTCTGGTAAATAAAACTGCATTTTCAGTGACTACATGAGAAATACAGTCTTGCTAGGAGATTTGCAGTACGCATATTCAACAGTTATGATTTCTCTGAAAATTAAGAGTGGAGAGATTGAGGATCCACACACATGAGAGGGACAGAAAGAGAGAGAGTACGCTTTCATGGTTAAAATGCTGTGACTTCCGCGAGGATGATCGGCTGACTTCTGGGTTCCGGTTTACCAGTTGTATATCCTTAAACAGCTATTTAGACTTTCTAAGACTTCATTTCCTCACATATTAAGATGGCGATGATGCTCCTAACTCACAGCATTTTCCAAAGATTAAATGAGGCAAATATGGAAAGTACGTAATAAAATATCCGGCACATAACGGCCACCAAGTAAACGGCAGCAGCTATTTGCTATAGTTTTTGTCATTGACAAACGGAGAAAAAAAAGTTGGATTTTTTTTTAGGATTCCTTCTGCTAAAATCAATTTAGAAAACTTCCCTCAGATGTACCATAATCTTGAAGCAGGAAGTGGGGAGGTTTCCTTGGAAGAGCTGAGCGGAGGCTAGAGTTTGCTGGGAGGGCCACAGCCCACGTTTCAGACTGACTTGTCCCTGCTAATTTGCAGCACCTTACGATGTCACAGCACTACCTGTCCTGGACAGGTTAGTTGCTTCACTGCACTTAACAATGTCACCTCAGTTTTTATTAACAGAAACTTTACACTTCTTAATCCCGAATCCTTGCAAGGAATAGAGACTCTCTCTCTCCCCCTCTCCCTCTCTGCTTCTCTCCTCCAGAGAAGGAGCTTAACACACCATTTGGGATGTTATAAAAACAGAAAAGATTCAAGTTTAAAATAATACTGTGAGTGGTTGAAAAACTGCACATATACCTTCATGTTTGCCTTCTTAGCCCTTTGCATTTACATCTCGTCTTTCTCTCAGAGAAACAGAATTCATCTTTAATATGCCTTACGCCACTCACTCCTTTGTATTTAATTGGCCCAGTGATTTCCTCTCCTTAAATTTAGCATTTATCAATCACAACTAGCAATGCATGTTATGGTGTTAACAGAAAATTCCACAGGACCCTCTTCACACTGGGGAAGGGGAACATCTGCTACTTTTATATTAGGATGCCAGGATTTAGAGGTCGATGTGTTTCCCCATCAAGGCTTAAGGCTTTGGGGATCAGGGGAAGTGTCGGCTCCAAGCAGCATAATGAATGGCAGTTGCTGACTGGCTAGGTTTGCCCGTTCTCAACAGGGGATAGTGCTGTTCAGCATAATGAGCTGGGACTTCGTGTCCTAAACATACCCAGCTTGGGGAGTGAGGCAGGCTGTGCCTCTTCCCCCCCCCCCGCCTCCCAGTTCTGAACTGTATTTTCATCTTGGAAGAAATGATATTGAGGTCTTCATTAGTGGCACCCAGCAGGGTTAAGGCTCCATGAGGGCTGATAAGCTGTATGGCTAAAAAACCCATCAGCCTTTGTGCAGGGAGCTGAAGGTTTAAGTTGCTTGAACTGGAAAGAGTCTGAAGAGGTGATTATGTTAAGCAAGTAATGTGTATCGGTAACATGGAATCAAATTATTAGGGTCAGTAACTCCTGGCTTTCTCGGTGCATTAAATGAAGACATAACATTGCATTTGTGCCCGGTACTTGTGGCTGCCACAGAGTGTCAGCACGGTCCGGTCATATGTACTTCACAGCATGTCACCTCTAATTTCATGGGATTATCTGCACTGTTGCTTTAATAGATACTCATGATCTTGAGCTTCCTTTGAACTCACAGCAGGGCAGTGCAAAGTCATTATTGCGAGTCCTTCTGTGCTTTTTGTGTTATATATAAAATTATCATTACTATCATTTGGAATGATAGATACATCTTGTTCTCATACATTCAGAAATGTACAACTTACTTGCTGATAAGGAAGTTACTGAAGGGGAAAAGCTGAATGTGAAAGACTTTCCTGGGGTCTAGGATTAGAAAGGTGTCAAGGCAGTAAATTAGTATTCGAAAGGTATATGGGCCCATGGTTCTCAAAGTTTGGGTCCCTGGCCAGCAGCAGCTCAACTGCAGAGGAACTTGTTAGAAATGCAAATCCCACTGAGTCAGAAACTCTGAGATGGGATCAGCAAACTGTGTTTCAACAAGCCCTCTAGGTGATGCATGATCAAGTGTGAGAAACACTATAGCATTTATGGAGCACAAGAATGGGACGGACCCATGTGTTATGGGGGTAGAGCAGCAGACAAGACAAATGAAGTATCTGGTCCCATGACCTTATTAAATTACAAAGGACTCTGTAGTACTTCACCCTGATAAAATATGCATACCCAACAGAGCCTGTAATTATCATAATACTATTTTATTCTTTATTTGAATTAGCCTGTTATCGGATCATCTTTGCTGTCAGAGAATGACTAACAAAAGATGACTAATGAACAATTCCTTTGTGCATTTCAGAAACATCCCCCTTGCCATATGTATATCCATGGCCATCGTCACCATTGGCTATGTGCTAACAAATGTGGCCTACTTTACGACCATTAGTGCTGAGGAGCTGTTGCTTTCAAATGCAGTGGCGGTGGTAAGTCCAAGTTGGAAAAATGCCCATTTGAATTTAGGCTAATGAGTTGATGCAATTTCATAGTAGTTCCCTCCAGCAGCAAGTGTTTTGAAATTCAGTAATCTTTTCTTGACCTGAATAATCATGAGCATTTAAAACATTTAGGGCACACCTTGGCATACTTCATTTGACTGGTACAGCCCAAATCCTATATGATTTCTCTGCATTGTTCATTTCGTGTAAAACGTTTCCCCATATTCATGCTTGAAAACACATTTTTATGTGTGCATGTTGAATGGAAGATAGTGTTCTTCCAACATGACTTTCAGGATAGGTGGGCAGTTGGGCAGTTCCTGACTTTAAATGAAGGTATTTTTTGGTATGTAAATTGTAATTTATTCTGTACCCTTTCCTGTTTGTAAACTTTTCAAATGCTAACTTAAAGTCTTTTTTTCCCAAAGTACCACTTAAGGATTTCCAAGGGATGACCATATATATTTGTTTGTTCTAGTATATTTTTTGAATACCAGTAATGGGATATTACTAATTTTTGGAATTATTGAGTTATTCAAAGTTAAACAGATGTCATTGCTATAGCACTTATCAGAATATTAAGGATACTAATGTGCAATTTAGCTCTGTAAGAAGTGGATACTCATAATTTTACAGCATTTTCCAAAATTTATTTGACTTCAGGACTGTCTTTGCTTTCAAAGTTCATGTTATTGGACTGTTATTCTGTGACACATACTTTTTTTTTTTTTTTGTATAAAAACTTAGCTGGTAAGGGGGCATTTATTCATGACCTCATAACAATGAAGGGTGAAAAAATAACTTCCCATCACTAGATGTCATTTCTTTTTAAAATAGTCACTATTACCTCATATTGGCAATACCCATGGGGAACAAATTATCTCATTTCATGTGAACCTATGTACGTGTCCACTGTATTAAAAAAAGAATTTGCCACTGCTATAATTCCTATCAGAAACCCAGTGTCCAGAGCTTGCTGATGTCAGGTCAGTCATCTCAGCTTAGTAGACAAAGGGCAGCATTTACTCTGTGAGCGTAATGTGGTTCATTAATTACACAGCACCAGCTGCTTCAAGGACAACTCAAAGAATCCCATGTAGTTTGTGTGTGTATGTTTTTTTTTTTTAAATACATCCTTTATGGAAATTTGCAGTGTTGCCTATGCCGTGACATAAAAGGAAATTCCAGAAGTTCTGTTGTTTATCTTTTGTATTTTCTGTGGCTTGATTTTCCCAGACTTGTATTTGTATTCTAGCCTTTTTATAGGAAGCCACAGAAGGAACTGGCAAGTACCTGAGAGGGAGGAAGGGACTCAATAAACAGACATTCAGCTACTGTGATTATTTGGAGCAAAAGATTTTCAGAACTGCTCATGTATGCAGTATAAATGATTGAGTCATCAGTCATGTCTCACTGGTACTTCTGTGTCATAACAGGAGGGCTGGTGTAAGAAACAAGTATCTGTGATACTTCTCAGTGGACATTTGTATTTCACTATCAAAATGTGGCTTTCCAGGCTACAGAGAAGGCATTTTGCTTTCTGTTTCTAATAGGAAAACCTCTGAACTGAGCTTTTTCTACTTACCAGAATCAGAGAATGTGGATACCACAGTTGATAAAGATTCAATAAATGGATCGTTGCTTTTTGAAAGTGGAGAGAAGGTGCTTGTTTAGACCTTTGCCCATAGTTTTGCAAGAAGCAATGCCATGGTACTTGCTTTTGATTATTGTCTAAGAAGTTAGTCTGACCCTAACCAAAAAGAAGAATTATAAAACATACACATATCAGCAGGCTAAAAGAAAGTCATAGAGCGAGTTTGGCCTAAATTGCTTCATTTTATTCCACTTTCTGGCAGAGCATTAATTTGCTTCGTTCTGTCTTTCACTAGACCTTTTCCGAGCGGCTACTGGGAAATTTCTCATTAGCAGTTCCGATCTTTGTTGCCCTTTCCTGCTTTGGCTCCATGAATGGTGGTGTGTTTGCTGTCTCCAGGTGAGTGAGTTCAAGCATTTCCAGAAATGCATTTCTGTTTTTGAGATTGGATGTGATAAGGGTAGGTTTAAAAAGAAAAGAAATAGTGCCTCCAAACCTGTTGTTTTTAAAGAGACATGTAAGATCGAAGCCTTGGTCCAAGTAGCAACAGCACGTCCCATTCTGCCCATTAGAGGGCACTGCTTGTCTACTCATAGCCCATGCAGAAGCCAGGCATGGAGCTTTTCTTTTTCTTTTTTCTTTCTTTCCTTTTTTTTTTTTTTTAACAGTATGTCTACAGAGTCTAACAACAGCATTTTATTTCTGGTGATAAAATCTTTCGTTTCACTAAAGGTGACAAGAAAAAAAGTAGAGTAAGAGATACCAGAAATCACCACCCCATCATCCGTATACCTTTTGTTTTGATGCCAAATTCCCTTTTATTTTAACATAAGATTAAGATCCAATCAGAAAAATGTAAATGGTGTGTGTACATGGGCATGTCTGTGTGTGTACGTGTGTGTGTATGTGTGCATGTGTTTGTATATTGGGCTGGATTGGATTGATAGCGCACATACAATCCTGGGAATCCAGAGCTATTTATATGTAGCGAGAGCCATGCTGAGTCGGATGTTGCTATTGTTTCTCCTCAAAGAATAAGCGAATACGTTGGCAGATTTTATACAATTTGAAGACCGATTTCTCTTGATGATTCTCTGCCTTACCTGAACAGTGAAACGGAAGTAATCACCTCAGAAATGCCAAACCATTTGGTATCGAATTAGATGCAAGTTTTCTCATAGATTTCTGGATTTTTCCCTTTGAAATGATCAATTATACAGTCAATTCCACCCACATTTTTCTCCCATCAGGTTATTCTATGTTGCGTCTCGAGAGGGTCACCTTCCAGAAATCCTCTCCATGATTCATGTCCGCAAGCACACTCCTCTGCCAGCTGTTATTGTTTTGGTAATGCATATTAAAAAGTATACCTAGATATAAGCTTGAATAACAGGTTAGCAAGGAGGATTTCAAAGCAGATGTTAAATAGTGCTTTACTTTCTCATTCATTGATGAACTGGCTCTGTGTGTACCTTGGTGGAGTTTGGGTCGCAGGATATTTTCCATCGCTTCCCTTTATTCAGTATTTCCGATGCATATTTGATGCTATGGGGCAATAACCACACCACTTTTTTTTTTCGCCTTTGTCGAAATTTGCGAGGTCTAAGGGAAGTGATTACCTAGGCTCCTGTCAGTGACCCAGAGCCGCTCAGGAAACGATATAGAGCAACAAGTCCCAATTCTGTGTATTGAAAGTGGAGCTAAAAGCCACAGTATAGGAGCTAAAAGCCTAGATGTACAATACAGTATCATAGGCCCCTTATAAGGAAATGCATGCAAAATTGACAGAAAAAATTGCTTGAAGTCCTAGACAGTGCAGGAATTCCATGATTAAAAGTGAGGTATTTGAGACCAACTCTTAAAGGGAAGAAATAAAAGCACCCAAACTGAAATTTGTAGAATTGTAAAAGATTGTAGAGTTTTAGAATTCTTAAAGCAAAGTCTTTGTGAAGCGTGGGATGCAAAAAAACTGCGTAGGGTATAAAAATCCGATCTAATACCCATTGGCAATATTATATTCATTTTCACCTGCTATTTTTGTAACATTTTTGTCAAATGGACTCTGCTGTCAGGAACACCATAGACTACATTGGACATTTTGTTTCATGCATTTAATCTGTTTCAGAATGTTTCCTTGAAATCTCTTTGTAAAGTCTGCGGACTCTGCATGGAATCTGGAAGTTAACATCACTTGTGGGAACAGAATGTATTGTTCGGCGGAGAGAGCTTTCATTTTAAGCCTCTCCCATCAGTTGTGCTGTCCTTGGCATGTGCAGCTGCAGAAACTTGTTATGCTGATCTTTGAGCTCCATTCTTTTCTGCGGTCTTGAGGGTCACACATGGCCAGCACATGGGGAGAGTAAATGTGGAGGAAGGAAAGGTCACTATTTTGCATTCAGGGGATGACAGAGTCACCTCGAAGTGGCTGTGCTTCATGCGTGTGCGTAGTCAAGGCCTTGTCAGTAACCATTTACAGAGGGCTCGGCGAATTTTCTAATTGGGTACACTTTTGATTCTTTGTATTGGCTATTTGCTAATCATCTCAATCTCTGGGCCTTTAAATTTAAGTCATGGAATATCCTGTGTTTCACTCTTTGAAAACATGTTCTCTTCTCTCAAATGAAAAAACAACTAAGAACTAAACATCCATGTGACATTCCATCTGATTAAGTGGTAATGATGATGACCTTCTCATGCCGTCACTGGTGCGTAATGGGGTATAAGAGCAGAGTATAGATAGGAAGTCAGTTGAATATAGGTTTTAATCACTGTGGTAGTTTATCAGTATAAATATCATATGAAAAAGATGATCATAATGTATAGTGATTTGATTGTTTTATCAGCTGTGCTCTCTTTTAACTCACCCAGCCTGGTCTCTCTCCCCCTTGCTTCCCCCTAGCACCCTTTGACGATGATAATGCTCTTCTCTGGGGACCTCTACAGTCTTCTGAATTTCCTCAGTTTTGCCAGGTGGCTTTTTATTGGGCTGGCGGTTGCTGGGCTGATTTATCTTCGATACAAACGTCCAGATATGCATCGTCCTTTCAAGGTAACCTCAGTAATCTTGATGGGTTTACATAAATCTTTCTTCTAATATCTAGTCCTCCCTTTGTCATAACTTGATGATGAGGAGCTTGGGAGGGGGGCAGCATCCTCTGGAACAAAATGTTTAACTCTTGCAGGTAGTGCCTTCATGTTGAATTTATTTGAGCTTGGAAAAATAATTCATCCTGGCGTTTATGTGACAGACTCAACTCTGTATGTCACATCTCTGAAAAGGGGTAGATACACAGGGTATTTGTTATGTTGCTTTTTCTTGGATGTGTCTAACAAAGACCTGATGTGTTCAAAGTGTGGGATACTTGTATCTTTATGCTGAGTAATTGTGGGTAGCCATGCTGAGAAAGAGGGAGGCAGACCTGTGTGGAATTGCCACTAACTGAAACTCTAAAAAGAATGCTGCTTTACAAAATGGGCGTTTTAAGTATTCTTAAATGTTATGACTTGGGACATGGCTCTTTTTTTACATTATATATTCTAGAAGGAATATATAAAGGAATAAAAGTGTAACTACATAGGAAAGTGAAGGTGTATGAATGTACCACTTAATAGAATACCCTTTACTATAACTAAGCATTTCCTTTTGGGAGAGCTGACGAATGTATTTCTCATCTCCTTTAGCCGTAAACGTTCATGGATTGATTTGACCTCACTGTTTATTTGCTTTTAAGAAATAACACAGATAATGTTGTCAGTCATGTTGTCAGAATTTGTTTCTAATTACATCCATTGTCTAATGTGAGCAACATCTTTACTAGCGGTTGAATAGGAGTTGGTCTGTTTTATTCCTGTCAGTTCTTATTGTGAATGTCCAACAGAAAATCAATATGCACTGTAAGGCTTTAACATGTACCAAGCGGCCCGTGCTCTTGACTCTACATTAAAGCAGAGTCTAATCATAATTATCAAAGAGCCAACCTGTTAAAATAAAAAACATAAATCATAATTGTACTTCTCTAGTCAAACCTTTTAAACAAAACATCTCTAATGAGACACACTTGTTTATCCTCGGGTTTTATTCTATTTAAAGATTTTAAAAAAAATTAAGGGAGTGTGTTTGCTACATTCTCCATGCCTATCAAAAGCTGTTGCTGTTAAGGTAAGCTGGGACGGTGCCTGTTACCTGCTCATGTGACCAGTGGGGATCATCTGATCCTTGGACTGATGTCCTTCTCTTGAATCCATCTTCTGGATTCTTGGATCCGTCTCTGGAACTGTTTCAAGTGATATTTTTCCCCCTATGCTGTGTTCCAGGTGCCGCTGTTCATCCCAGCTTTGTTTTCCTTCACGTGTCTCTTCATGGTTGCCCTTTCTCTGTATTCGGACCCATTTAGTACAGGAATTGGCTTCATCATTACTCTGACTGGGGTTCCTGCATACTATCTCTTTATCATATGGGACAAGAAACCCAAGTGGTTTAGAAGAATGTCAGGTAAGACTTTTATACAGTTTCAGGACCTCTTGAGAGACCATGTTGTAGAAAACCCATCTGTGTGTACATCCCCTCCCCTCCTTAAAGTTTAAAAATATAAGTAAGGCAATTGCTAGTTCAAATACATTATTGCATTTTAATTAGAACTAGGAGACGGAAAGTGGGAAAGATGTTTAGGGTACAGCCACTCAATCCTTTCAGGATATTTAGTTTGAGCTGCTCTGATCACGTCTGAAGAGAACAGCTTTTTTAGATAGAATTTTATCAGCAGTTCTATCATGACCTAATTGCTTTCCTAAATCCCTTACTAACCTATTTATTTTTTGTTTTGGGTTGAACTCAGTTTATTGATTCTATATCATAACATGCTATTTGCTGAGTGATTATGAGGCTTGGTAGGGAGTGAGACAGAGACCTATAGGGATCCTAAATATTAGGGTTATGACACAACCTATTTAATAGGCACGTGAATCACAGCAAAGTCATAAGAACAGCAAGAACGATGAAGAGAAGAATAACAATTCACAATTTATTGTGTGGTTTCTGTGTGTTAGCACAGAATATGACCTTATTTCTTCATTATAATAACCTTCTGAGGTAGCAAAAGTTCTCATCCCCATTTTAGAGATTTTTGAGTTATACCATGGAAGAATTCATGAGAGTTGTTCCAAGTCAGGCAGATACTAAGTAGACCAGCTAGAAGTCAAACTCGGGTAGTGTTTTATTTTATAAAAATCATGCTGGGTACAGCGAGGATGGATTAGAGAGGATCAAGACCGAAAAGACTCAGGGTTGGTAGTAATCACAGTGACCCTACACAAGGATGAAGAAGGGTCTGAACATGGACGATGTTGGCAGGGTCCAAGAGAAAGTGAAAGCTGTTAAAGAAGAAAAACCCAAAGGGCTTGGTGACCAGGTAAGTTGGGGAAAGAGGAAATACAGGATATGAGTAGGTAGAAAGGTGCCTAGGAGCAGTCTCCGTGGAAAGCCTACCTCTCTGTCAGGGGCTGTACTGAGTGAGGCCTTTCACTCACATCAGCTCGTCCCATCTTCCACAGTTCCCTGTGTGAGGTACTGTTTGTTCTTTCTATACCTGGTGGGAAACCAGGACTCAGAAAGATAAAGAATTTATTTTTAAGTGTACAGATTTTAAACCATCGAGCTAGGACTTGAGCCCACATCTGCTGGACTTCAAAGTCCATGCTCTTTCTAAAGTGGGTGCCTGGGGGACAAGAAAGAAGTAAAAAAAAAAAAAAAAAAAAATGTAGCCAGAAGAACATCTATGTTCTTGCTGGTCAGTTTGGTGAGTTTAGTGAGTTTAGAAAACAACTATTGTTCTTATCTTTCATTTTAATTTACTTCTTTAACCATAATTAATTTTTAAAAGCCCAGTATGAAGTTCAGGGAGATTTCTGATATTTCTGGTAAAACTGCTAATAAATAATGTCAGTGTTACTAAAACTAAAAAACAAAGAAAACCCTGAAATATGTATATATATCTCTTGACCCTCCAGTGTGAGACCCAAACTCATTTAGAAGTCAGCCATTTAAAATAGACTTTTGCTACTACTCTTCATTAGCTTTTAATTGGTATTTGGTATCTTTAGACCTTATGCTACTATTTATATCTGAATTTTGTTTTCTAGCCAGCAACACTGAATCCCTGAAGAGGTATTACTCTAAAAGTTGGGCTCCTTAAGGTTAACCCAGGCACACTGCTTGTCTGGCAGGGTATTTAATCTCTGTTTCCTGTTCGATCACACTAGTTATCTGTGGAATATTTTTAGTTACATTTTCTCTGTGGCAGGCAATAGATATAGAGGCTTTCCTAAAAAAAAAAAAAAAAAAAGAATCTAGTTTAACAATAACTATTCCTGAGAATTGCTGTCCTCATTACCAATGTTGGGAACAGATAGGCATTCATCATTTCGAGGTCTTTGTCTGTCTCCTATCCTGGCTAGAGACATTTGAAACCCCTGAGCGCCATGGGACAGCAGGTAAATTGATGGAGAGCTGGTAGCCCTAGAGTTGGGTGATGAGGAGGCAGAGGGTGATGAGAGAGCAGGTTCTGTGCTTTCTCCCGCTCGGTAGGCGTTGTGCTCCTCCCATTGGGAGGCCGCCAACCCTAAGCATCCTTTCCCATCACTACCATGTACCTATTTTGCACCCTTTCTTTGTCAGTGCCTACCAGCTGCCAGTTTTCATACTTGATCCTTCTTTGATGGTTTTCCATGCTTTTGTGATTTTGAAGGTTTTTGTTGCTTTTCCGTCTGTAATGATGTTCCAAACATCTCCAAGGACTCCAAATTTAGTGTAGCCGTTTGTGAAAGCAGCCGCGATGCAGTAGTCCCATAATGGTTATTTGGATCTCAGAATGCCATTAAGTCTTACCAGGGAGCATGGCAATTCTGCCTTTAAATTGTGAGCCTTGTAACCCTTTATCTTTATAGCCGCCTTGAAAGTGAGTAGCAAAAAACAACAATCCTCCATAATTTTGTTTGATTTTTCTCTTAGGCAGCATTCTTGTAGGAAAATAAAGAAAATTCATAATATTTATTGCTGCAATAGCAAGTAGTTTCCTCGCCTTTGGCCAAAACAAAACACTCATACATAGACACACGGAACAGCGGAGTCCTGCCCACCACCTTGCCTCTTTTCCCAACTGCCTCCTTGTTAGGAAAAAGCTCAGTGTGAACTTGGAGAGCTTCTGCGATTTCATATTAGATTTTTGTTGGTGTTGTTGGGTAACAGTCTCTAGAATTTCTATTATCTTTTGTTTTCACCCTGATGTATATGAATGCATTAGCCTTCTGAAATAAGAGTTGATCAAAACACATCTCACCTAAGGGGCTTTCACAAACAGTGTGAAGCAGATGAACAGCCTTCAGGAAATGGTGAAGAGCTGCTTGGTACAGATAGCCAGGCATGTTCAGAACTGAGGATCTGAGATTTTCTGAGATTTGATGAATATCTCTGGCCACAGGATGCCAGTATTGAACCACGGTTTGTTTGATAGCATTCCTAGGATGAGGAGAAAATGTGCTCTTAAGGGAATAGTCAGATACACAGAACACAGTTCTCTGCCATCTGTGACAGAGTAGTGAATTTTTCTAGGTATTTATTGAGTTTCTCACCCAAGGAAAATTGGGGCGGACACCCCACTGACATACTCACATGCATGGAGGTAGCTAGACCTGGCAAACTCTGGTGAGGGCTTGCAGTAGGTGTTTGGCTTGGCTGCCTCCCTTTATCAGCCAGACCTTGTGACAGCTGAAATGAGTGGGATGACTGGAAGTCGGTCCCTCTTGCTAAAGCAAGATATGGGGTACAGCTGTGTTTAGGCAACATCTGTGATGACAAAGAATGGTACTGGGGAGCACCAGCAAAATGGTCATAGTCCATTTCTGTAGACAATGACTTTGCGATTCCAAGGTCCTGAAAGCATATGATGCGAATGGTGTATCATGGATAACTTAGCTTATGAGAGATTCCGCACTGGAAGCTCCTGAATGCATTTGACTGGCTCTTCATGAAGTCTGCAGTGCAATATTTTAAATTAGTTAAGCTTGCCTACATCTCTTGGGGGCCTAAACCATCTTCATTGTAAAGATCAAAGGAGACCATACACGTGAAAAGGTTTGGAAGCCTTTTTTAAAAAATAGAAAAACAACATACCTACTATTATTTTCACTATGACCTGTGGGGAAGATTGGTTTTGTGCTAATACTTCACAGAGTTACTCAGTTTGGCTGTAGGTCCTGTGCTTGTACCAAGTGTGGTAGGGTAAATCCGATTTTGCAAGGTCAGTTGTTTGAGCTGATTTCAAAAACTACTTTACTACTGAAAAGTAAAGCTAAAAATACTGCAATTGCTATTTGTTCTTGTAACATGCAGTTACTGAAAACACCGAGTGAGACTCATTGGCTCAATTTTATTTAAAAGAATAGTATCATGGAGGGACTCCTGGGAAGCTCAGTCAATTAAGCATCTGCCTTCGGCTCAGGTCATGATCCCAGGGTCCTGGGATTGAGCCCTGAGTGGGCTTCCTGCTCAGTGGGAAGTCTGCTTCTCCCTCTCCCTCTGTCCCTCCCCCTGCTTGTGCTCTCTCTCTTGCTTTCTCTCTCAAGTAAATAAAAAGTAAATAAAATAGTTTAAAAAAATATATATATATATGATATATATTATGTGGTATCATGGAGTTGATTATTCCCAAAGTCAAAACGTTTATATGAGCGTGGATGCAGTTGAATAATACATGCACCACATTTCTCCTGGGCAAGCAGGAAGCTTCCACAGAGGCTTATTTGGGTCTGCTGAGTACCACTATCTGTAGATGACCTGGAAGAAAAAGCTGGTATAGTTCCAACAGCTTACTCAGGGCCAAAATCTGTCACTCTGGCCAAACCTCCATCACAATGAGAATTTTTCAAATCTTGAGATCCCAAGAGAGAACATAGGAAAGTCATAGGAGAAAATGTAATAGGACTGATTGAACATGGAAGAAGAGAAAGGGTGTGGAGAACCGGAAGACAGAGTCTTTGGTCCCATATGTGCTGCTGAATAGAAGATCTAAATTGAGCTCACAAAGGAGAATGTCACACAAGCAAAGCTTCAAGATCTCTAAGTTGCTCTCCGTTTCTCTGGAATTGATGCAGTGTTGTGACATGGGTAAGGAAGATATCTAAGAAAGCAAAGAACTGGGGGCTCAAAACACAGAAACAGGCTTTCAGAAAAGGCTTTTGTTCAGTAGATACATGCATGAATAGTCTCACACACACACACACACACACACACACACACACACACTCAAATGTCAGTCATTTTAGAGATTATTTCAGGGAGGAAGCGATGGAGAGGATATACACTTAACCCCAATGCTTTGCAGTCCAGCATTGCAGATGCCTAAAATCTCCTACTGTTTCAACCTATCAGATAGCCCTGGCTCCTTCTCGTATTACAAAATTCACATATTCCATACTATTGGTTGATACTTTTCCGCC